ATATATATATATATAACATGCTACTGTTTCAAAGATGTGTGCTTTGTAAAGTATTGATCTGTTTGTGTTATCTAAAGACACATTGGGTCTTCCATGCTCATCATCCTGAAATTTTAAATTTGTGCAGGTGTTCATTCGAAACTCAATAGATAATGTTTCAAAGCTACAGTCAAAAGTGAATTTCTTGGAGCAAACTCTAGACAAGATGACACATTCTGTTGCTGAATGTGAAAATTATTCTAGCATGGTTTGCTCAAAAATATTGAAGAAAGTTCAAACAGTGTCTTCGTCCCCTAAGCTTACACCTAGGCCATCAGTGGATAACAACTACAATGATTCATCACTTTTATCTTCAAAAAGCATGGAGATTTGGCAGGATAATTTGTCTTCAAAGAGTAGATCTAGCACTTCGGTCATAGAGGAAGGGGAGATTTTGGAGGATTCACCACTTGACATACTGCAAAGTCCAATACCCAGAGGTGTAGGAAACAACTCAGGAAGAAGCCTTATATCTCTAAGAAACCAAGAAAGAGATGCGAAAGATGCAAGCGTCGGGGCTAGCAATTTGAAAGATGTGAATGGATACCTGAAACGAATTAAGGAATTTCTTAGTGCAGGGAATTTGGAGTCAGCTTATGTGGAGGCAATACTTTCTGGTGATGATCTTAGTCTTGTCCTGCTCATGGATAGAACTGGCCCTGTTCTGGATAAATTGTCACACGAGACTACGAATGAAGTACTTTCCATTATGGCCACAAACTTTGTCAATCGAAGATATCTGGAAGGTGCAATTCCATGGTTGCAGCAGGCAAGCTACCTATCCCTAAAGATTGTGTGACTATGCACTATGTGTGATAATCCATTAGTTACATATGTCCAAATAACATTTATTTTCTTCTTAATGCTTTCTAGGTGGTTAATTTGACCATGGCTAATGAACCGAGGAACCTCTTCCTGTCTACAAAAGCACAGATGGATTTCCTATTAGCACTGCAGGTAGCAGCAACAAGGGGATGCGCTGATCCAGTAGCAAAGACGTCCATATCGCGGTTAGCAGTAAAGTTGAGCAAATTATGGCATGGTGACCCATCCAGGTAGACTAATATAGCTTTAAACTTTCACTTCAAATCTAACTCAGGAACTTCACTTACACTAAATGATGATTTTAATGAACATATTTTCACCAAGTAACAAGTAGTTGGTTTCTTGTATTTTGCCTGACCTTATCATCTGTGACATCATCTGTTATATTTTCCTTTCTATGATTGATTGAAGTCAAATGTTTATATGGTTATCAATCGATAGTCTTACCTATTTTTTAATTCAATACTTTGTGAAGTCAAGGTTGCTGGATGGGGCACATCAAAATGCAGAGTTAACCATAAGAGTAGTTCATAATTGTTATGATGATGCCACTTGGATCATGGTGTTGTTTTCGGACTTACTGTATGAAATCTTTCTGGAAAGGTCTTCAAACAGATAGATTTTGAGAAATTCAAAGATATAACAGTTAATTTTCATTGATTAGCGTAGTCCTCGCTATCTCGTTGCGTACCTGTTCTGTGCATCAAATAATGTTCAAACAAATACCAACATGTCAAAAAAGATTCTGCATTTTTATTGTTATCCATGATATCTTTTAAGGAATGCTCGTTGCTCCATATGCCATAATGAAATCAGATCATTATGCTTAGTTGCTTATTGTTGCAGGAAGGGTCTGCCTCCGAGAGGATCACAAGGGAACAAGAAATGTGCTTTCTAGAACAAGGAGATGACATCTATTTCGCATTATATTCAACTTCTGAAGATTTTGTATCATGATACTTTCTCCTTTAAATAAATTTTCGGTTCACCCATGTCGTTTCTCCAAATCTTACAATGTAAGTGATAGAAAAATGCAAATCATGACCCATACAATGGAACAAAAATAAGATGCCTGATCCATACAATCAATATTTGTTCTATATGTTTATTTATTGTCTGTCGACTAAAACAGCATCATATCAATCATATAAGATGGCATTTTATGTGCATTGAAGTTGTTCCAATATTAGACAAACATAGTGGACGAAGTGCGTCCTGAACATTAGTGCATTTTGTTGGTCAATGGTCAAATTGCTCTTCTTTGTCTCCTGTTCGTCTGTTTCCATTTGAGCAGAATGATCCTTCTCAAGTGGAACCAAATAGAGAAAAATTTCTTGGCATTTGAACTTGCAGACCACCAGAGAAAATATAAGTATTATTTTCAAAGTTTGCTATTTATTTTTTATTGTATTGACCATTCAAATTAGACCTAACCACTAGAAAAGTAATTTACTTGCAATTGACTAAAAGCATAACAAATATGACCGGCAATACATAACCGCCAACAATAATAACATTTCAATGGCTGCATACAGCAGAAAATGTAGCTAGAAAATATTGTTGCAGCAACACATCATAAAAGTTTTTGTTGTTCATAATTTAACCATCTGGTATAAATAGAGCTACTAAAGCAAATATTAACAAGCAGCAAGTAGGGCTTCTTAAACATATCATTGTTACTACCAAGTATTTGCTTAAACATTTCAGCTTCTTCAGCATCACGAAAAGAAAACAAAGATCGTAGGAGCGTGGAAGCTAAATTATTCATATGGCATTCCGATCGCACTTTACAAAAGCTGGTAAGAAGGACCAGATCTGCTTAAAGATTGCCGATCAGAAGGAAAACAAAATGACGAGGAAAAAAATACAGAATAGAGAGGTACCTTCTATTTCCTTTTCTCCTTTCAAATGGCAAACAAACTATACAACTGCTTCAGCAATTCAAGAGCTAATACTACTAAGCAGTCTTCCAATGTCCAATTCACCATACTATGAAGTGGTCTGGCACAGGAGAGGGTTATAGTTGTTGATCTTGCTAGCTGCTTGTCGCAGGAGTAGTCTCTGATTTCTGCAGCTCGTCAGGTTTAGGAGCAACACTAACACTCAAGGAACTATTTTTATCTGTTGCTGGGTCAGCATTGTTTCTTTCTTCCAACCTGACAGCACTAATAAAGTTCTTAGATAGTCGGTTTATGAAGTCACCCGAGATGGCAGGAGGGTTCCTTTGCTCATTCCTAAAAGCAGCTCGAACAGGCCCTGCCGAGTTGTACATCTGGTGATGCTTGCGAGCCTTTCTCTCCTGCATGGCTTTCTCCCGCTCCTCATAAAACTCAAAGTCGTCAATGATTGATACTTCATATTCATGCTTCTTAAAAATTCCTAGCATCTCCAGACCCTTTTCCAATTTCACCTGCATGCATTGAAACAAAATACAAATTTAATAGACAAGGTAATTATGTGTGAATCAAATGCTAAAGAAACAACTTATGTAAAAAAACATAACCAACAAACGCAAGCCCTAGATAAAACAATGGAGTTTTGCTAAAACAAGAACCAATTTGTTAAACAGGATAATCCTTCACATAATAGGTTAAGGAATAGTAGAAAGATTTAAGAGTGTTACATCCAAGCTCATACAAATCTCTTGATCAATATTTGAAAAAAGTCTAAGTATTTGACCCCAGAGTGATTTATTTCACCCCACTATCATCAGCATGTTTACTGCAAAAAAGAAACAAAACTATTAATATTTGATAATAAGTTTGCTTTGAAATAAGCAGATGCATCCCAATCCTTGTGGTATAGGATCCTATAACTCCATAAAAGGGTTCAACTCAAGGATTGTCGTTGAGATTCATATCTTGAGAGTCAAACATGATAAGCCATATGATAGCTCTCGGACGTCGCTAGCTCCATGCAGAGATGATTTGATCTAGCAGCACTACTTAGGAAAAGAACAAACATCTGATCAGAACCAAGAAACACAAACTAACACTGATCGTGTTAGCTCCAGACAGAGATGACTCTGGGTTAGCATCACTACCTAGGAAGAGGACCACAATTTGGTTAGATCCTTCCACAATGTTAAATTTAGAAGAATTCCAATGGTTAACCAATATCTGGGCATATAACTTTTTAGAAAATCGACGAATGAGAGATGGGGATGTGGCAAGGAGATAAAGGGTCACTCCTGCAGCCTCTGTGAAAGCACAATAGAAACAATATTTTCGCTGGCTTCACATATTGAATATTCAGGATTTAATGGATTTTACACATATATTCCAAAGAAAGGCTGTATCATTGATTTCATATCTCATCAGATCCAGTATGACGCTTAAATATGGGCACTTGTAGAAGTCTCTTTGAAGATATTTATTGAAGTAAATCACTAGAAACAATTAGAAGTTCAAGTCTTGCAGTTATAACATGATTCAATGTTACGGTTCAACAGATCATCAGTTATTTGACACCAGAAACTAAATTGGAGTGAGAAAACTTCTGCTTGAATCCAAATGAAACATTGATGTATAACCCGATTGGCTTCTGAATAAGAAACAAAAAAAACCCAGGAACCAAACAAGCTATGCACTCAAGAGTACAATCAGAATAGGTAGCAGAGCTTCTGTCAGCATGGTGTATTGGATATTTCTAGTTGGCTAAATCAGTCCAAGAAGCAACATAAGTTGGTGCACTTGAATGAAATAGAGATCCTCTTTTTATTGTTTAATTTCCTACGTCTTCTCTACCTCTCCTCGCATCACTAGTTTTGATTGATTCAACTCATCTAACAATAGCATATATAGCTCTCCCTTGAATATGTTCATACCATTTCAAATATTTTTTCCACATTTTATTCTATTTGCTACAAAGGCATATCTCTCCATGATACTCAAAGTCACATGACTATTGATGCAACATCTTGCCTAGAGCTTAAGAAATCCATCACTCTCTCTCTCTCTCTCTCTCTCTCTCTCTCTCTCTCTATGTAGCAAGCATTCTCTAGTTACACTCTTAAGGGATAGTTGATATCCACAGGTAACTTGATTGCTGACTCCCTAAAATTATTATTTTAAATTTTGATCATGTTCAATAAATTGACTTTGTCAAACTAAACTAAATTTCAAAGCATTTTGTTAAAGATAAACAGCCTGTCATGTAGTTGATAAACCAAAAAGAAAAGCTTACTTCTTGGGTGTCTCTGCTGTTGGTGACAGGCTTATTTTCATTGTTTTCGAGTATAATATGTCGAAACAAATTGTTGGGTACATCTTTCACCATATGCCACTTGACAGGAAACTGACCACTCCACCTGTCTTGCTGCCAGTAATCCACACTCTTTTCAAAATCAACAGGTCCAATCATTTCAGATACCCCACAGAAATGTGCACTTGCATTTACCTGGTCATGGTTATTATTATTATTATTATTTTGCAAAGAACTAATATGATTATTCCAATTTACTAAAAAAAGGGAGCTATTAAACACAGAAACATACAAATATAACCTATGAGATTAATTTGAAAGAGTAAAGTATGAAGTTACCGAGAAAAATAAGAAAACTGGGCAAGGATCTTCTTTTTGTTTCGCTTCATGGTATGCAGAATCCAACTTCCTATTACCACTGGAAGTGCTAGCCCAAACACCATATTTAATGCTCTTGTGAACATTATCCTCACTGTAAGACTTAATTATGAAAAACATGGCATCCTTGTGCTCCGTAACAAAATCAGGACTATTATACAATTTATGATCGACCCCTGTGGTAGAACTATCTTTCTCAGTGTCAAGTGAAGAATTGCATTCAATCATCTGAATTTTTGACCTATTTGCTCGTGGTCCTCTGTTTTGCTCGTTTAGAAAATCGACAGTGCCATTGCAACTACACAATAAAGTACTTTCCTTTCCTCCCCTCCTATTTTTGTCCATAACAAATGAGCTCTGGTCTTTAATTCCCAAGCTGGGAATAGATGTCTCAAATGTGCTATTATGATAATGCCCACTGTGCGAGTAACCTCTATCGATAGAGCTGATAGATGATCCAAAGCCATACAAAGATCTCTGTTGCTGTGAACCCTGAAAATAGTTAGAAAATAAAGTGAACAAACAAAAACAAAAAGTACAAAATTGCAGTTTACAGTGCATAAATTCAGTCTTAAGACTAAAAGGTATCAGTGGTAACATAAGCACGCCTCTAATTGGAATTTTCTAGTAAACACCTGGGTGCATTGATTTCGGATGAATAGAAAATTGATGCCACTCATACCTAACACTAATATACAGATAAGCGAAAGCAACATTAATCCAAATTCCAAGACCCAAGAATTTTCAGAGGCTTGATCTCTGGTTTTTGCTATTAAAAAAGCTAGAACAACTACATCATACTATAGTTGTTTAAAATTTCCAATGCAAGCCTTTTCCTAGAATGGACCTTGACATAAAAAAAGAAGTTTCTCAATGAGAACATTCATGAAAGATTCCTACTTCACAAAAATCTAAATGAGTATTTTTTTATTGAAATTCTGGCAATTACTATGTATTGAACAGTAAACGGTATCGCGAAATGCCACAAGTATGCATAAAAGAATGAACCTGCACCATAAAAGCTATGTCCTTAGGGAGACTATTGGGACCATAATGTAAAATCTTTTAGGATATGTCAAGACTCAATTTGGTTCACAACAGTTCATCAAAAACCATCAGATTTTGGTATTGTTGCATCATATGCTACTTGGTGGTCGTATCATAATTAACTGAAAATATCAACAAATAGCACAAAATAGAATGATCACAGCTTAAATAACTTTTAGGGTCAGATATTGGGATATTAGATTAATATTTTAAACTTACAGTAAGCTAAATGACTATCATTTACTTTTCATCTACTACATTAATAATAAAAAAGGCATCAAATCCAACTGACAAAAAGTACTGTTCCAACTACATAAAATAAGGAAACCACAACGGTAAAAAGAACAATTTTAGCATATTGAAATGATAAAATTGAAATTTATATCATGTTCAGTCAATGTTCTTGGAAAGTTGCAAAATGTAAAAGAAAAATCATGGAT